AGCAATATTAAAATCACTCCACTGACTCCCAATTAGTTTCCCAAGGTGCAAATTATTGGTTGTAATCTTTACATGGTTTGGGTTCTGGTTATCCATGGAATCACCTCCTCCCATACAACCCATCCCATACACTCAGGTCTTAGTCCAGTCAGCCAGAACTAGGCTGGTGATCATGATTCCAAGGACTTTTTTCTTCATCTAACTTAGTCTTGAAATGATCTATCATAAGACATTGATCAGGTAAATACGTTGTTTGAATTTAAAACAGCATTAAAGACTAATCTTTTCTGGCATGTTTATCCAGACGATTTTAAACATATGAATTTTAAGCTACAAGGGGATTGTTTTAATATGTATAGGTCTTATATGTTCTTCTAAACCAGTGGTTCTCAACCTGTGGGTCCCCAGATGTTTTGGCCTTCAACTCCCAGAAATCCTAACAGCTGGTAAACTGGTTGGGATTTCTGGGAGTTGTAGGCCAATACATCTGGTGACCCACAGGTTGAGAACCAGTGTTCTAAACTGATACGTGTTATGATGTTATTCGTGAATTTTAATGTATTTTTGTTCTCACTTTGGATTAGAGCAAGTAACAATTTAAAATATTGTTAAGTAATATTAAATATTGTTAAGAACTTTGATGTAAGATATCCACCATGTCTGTGTACACCAATGTTATTCTCCACGATCACACCTGCTTCAGTGATGGTCCAGATGTCTACCATGCAAAAGATGACTGCCATAAGCAGCTGTGGTAGTGTGAGAAACATGAGATGGATGGGGATGTAAGAAATGGAATTTGTCAAGCCTGCACCATTTTAACTAGGATCAAATGTCATTTCATTTTGGAACAACAGTAAAGAAGAATCAAAGAATCTTATAAATTTGAACGGGCAACAAGGGCTTCTGCCATATAGGAACATCTAACTAAAGCACTCCTGAAAGATATCCATCCAACTTCTGTTTAAAGACTTCCAAATAAAGTCTACCACCCTTCACGACAGCCTACTCTGCTCAACCAGCATCTACAATAAAGAAATTATTTATGTCTAGGTGGAATCTCTTTACTTGTAATTTGAATCCATTGACTCTTGTTCTAGTTTCTGGAGCACCTGAAAACAAGCTTGTCCTGTCTTCTACATGACATCACGTCAAATATCTGAAGATGACTGTCATGTTGCCTTGTAGTCTTCTTCAGGCTAAGCATATCCGCTTCCCTATGTCTCAAGATTTGGTTTCAAGACCTTTGACTATCTTGGTCATTGTAACATCAATAACCCATGGATTAGGGAATAATACAGCTCTCCAAACATTGTTAGCCTCATTAACTATATGAAGCAGATTTCATGGTAAAAAAATATTGGGAGTAGCAGTTCAGCAATATGTGGAGGGTCATGTTTCCTACCTCTGCAGTAAACTTCTGCCCGTTCCAAAACATGCCACACTGTAGGATTTAAACAATGCCAACATAATAGTTGTTAGTACAAGCAAAAACTGATATCTTTTTAAGTAGTCTCAGACAACGCAGAACAAAAGCTGTCCAAGTATTTAAACAGATGCTGTTGTTTGAATAGCAGTGGCTCTTTAATAAAACACAGTGGGAAGCCATTTTTGCATATGTTAAGACAGCTATCTGGGTGCACCAGTTTCATTTACTTCTCTAGGGCTTTCTTCCACTGCATTATTGACATTTCCATGGGAGCTGAAGTTGTACCCAAGTGGAAAATCAAATTAACTTGTTGAGTAACTTTTATTCCTCTTTAATTTGTATTGTCCCCATTTGGTGGTTTGTGCTTAGCTTTGGTTACCCACTTGCAACAGCAGCAATGGAAGTCCAAAGCAATGACACAGTCATTCCATGGGGCTAGCTGACTTTATGGCTCATTTCATGTGGTGCCAGTACTTTGATCATAGATAGTTGAAAATATGTAGTCAAAAAAGACAGGGGAGTTTGCTTTGCCTAACAAAACAACCCTTACCATAGTATTTCAACATCATGTTTTCCTTTGTTGTTGTTTATTCGTTCAGTCACTTCGAACTCTTTGTGACCTCATGGACCAGTCCACGCCAGAGTTCCCTGTCAACCACAGCCACCCCCAGCTCTTTCATGCCAGTCACTTCAAGGATACCATCCACCCATCCTGCCCTTGGTTAGCCCCTCTTTCTTTTTCCTTCCATTTTCCCCAGCATCATTATCAGATAAAGTCCATATATCCAAGCTTAGCAACTATTTATTCAAGTTATTTGACCCTTTGCTATACATATATATTACCAAACGCTGATACTAGGTGGTGCTTTTCTCTACTAGGATTTCACAGGATTAGTGACCAAGCTTTCTTTGCTACTCCATTTCATTCAGTACCATCTGGATAGGATATATACGCATTACTGGAAGAACTGGCCCAAGCTATTTTATTGCTACTATGTGAGACAAAAGACAAAATGGCTGCAGTCTCCATTTCATGTTCAAAAGCTGATAGGGCAGTGAATCTGACTTCAATATGCACATATGGCCAATTTCATGAGCAAGGGACAGCTTTGTGGTACATATAGCTATGTTCTTCAATACACAATAGTTTGGGCAGCTTTCACTATTGACCCTAAGCACTTACCACACCAGCTGGTTGCCTCACACTGGCTTGTGCCAGCTTTGTTTCATGTGTAAGAGTGCTGTTTTAGGAGTCCTACATTTAAAAAAAATGTCTAACAGCCCGTTTTCTTTATGACCAACACTTAAAGAAGTCATGTCACTGTGCTTAAAAAACCTCACAAGTTAGTTGTCAGAGTGAAAACTGGAAACGGTACCTGTACTTTGAATGGTTGCATAGAAGGGAAAATTTCAGCAGGTGTTGCTTGTGACTTGGTTGCATGACTAGCATCATCTGCTGAGGTTCCTGCTTCTACTCAACAAGTAAGGTAAAGGTAAAGGTTTTCCCCTGACATTAAGTCCAGTCGTGTCCGACTCTGGGGTGTGGTGCTCATCTCCATTTCTAAGCCGAAGAGCCGGTATTGTCCGTAGAAACCTGCAAGGTCATGTGGCCAGTATGACTGCATGGAGTGCCGTTACCTTCCTGCCAGAACCTATTGATTCGAACCTGCGACCTTTCAGTCAACAAGTTCAGCAGCTCAGTGCTTTAACCCACTGCACCACTGGGGGCTCCCCTCAACAAGTAAACTCAACAAGTAAACCATATAGGAATAATCTAGGCTAGAGGTTTTACTCTGGCAACATTATACAAGACTATTGTGAGGATCAGATGTAGGAGAAAACATGTAGGCTGTCTTTAATTTTTGAAAAATGGAAAATAAATAAGGTTTTTTGTTTTTTTTAATGACAATTCTAGAAATACGTAACAGTGCAACACTTTTAAAATAACTGTTAGCAAGCACAACAATCTCATGGAACGCTCTGAAATGGTGCTTCGAACTTTCTTTAATTATTACAATGTTGCAGAGTTTAAGATTAAACACTTTCCTCCCCTGGATCCTAGGCATGGCATCTCATTAAGCCAAATGCCATGCCCAACAAAAGAGCAACAAAAAGGTGTGAGAGAAACCAAAAATCTATTAAGATCTCAGTAGGCAGCTCATTTCTTTTCTTTTTTTAAAAGCCCATTGCAGCCACCATATTGATGGACTTATTTCACTTATCTGATGACTTGTTGGCTCATTTGCAGTGTACCTGGTGATCCATTCAGAAATCATTTAGCAAGGCACCTAAAAAGTCTTTTGTGGAGGGAGCAGAAATGATGATTTCCACTTTGAAACAACTTTGCATCACATCTTGATTTTACACCTATAAAATTATGAGACAACTTCTGGCAGCTTCACATATAATAGCTTGGAATGTGTTTAGGAAAAATAAATATGTCTCTCAGGAAAAAGAGTACTTAGTCTGTTTTCCCTTGCTTCATTTCTGTAGTTGTCTACCTTGGTGGTGGGACTGTGAGAAAGCCCTCATCTGCAGATCTTAACACGTATGCTGGCTTATACAAGGAGATACATTCTTTTAGAAAGTCCACACTCAAGCCATTTAGGGCTTTAAAAGTTGAAACCAATATTTTGAATTCTGCCTAAAAATAAACCAAGAGCCAATTTAGCTACTTCAACAGGAAAGTTGCATGGTTCTTGTATTTAGCCCTGGTCAACAGCCTGGCTGAAACTTTTTGGAACTGTTAGTTTCCAGTTTCCAAAAGCAGCCCCACATAGAAGACACCCAAATGGGGTGAAATTAAAGCGTGTCACCTACTCAAGGAATGGGTACAGTTGGTGCATATTATAACAAAACAACATAGCACAAAGAAGAGTAATATCCTTTTCCAGTGTGATGCCAACCTTTAATTACTTTAAAGTTATGGGGTGTGACCCCAAACAATGGAGGAAGAATGATGTTTCAATTGCTTGCTTGTGGTGTGTCTTCTGCTGCCATGTCATATTATATTTTGGGTGTGGCAATAAGGGAGACATTTGTGTGGTCAGCAGCATGCACCATTCAGGTTTCTTTATAAAATAACAATTTTATATACAGTATGAGCCCCCCCCCCCCGGCAATAACTGTACCTGTGGTTTTCACCTGCCTACATCCAATGTCCTCTTAAGGAATTTTCTAGGCCTTCCACTCTGGTGTGCTTTCCCCAGAAAATACCATAGTCATGTTAGAGGACATTCTTAGCGGAAACTATGGATTTTCCTAGGTTTTCCATGGAACCTATAGTGTGCATCCGCCAGAAATTACCAGAACCATATTGGAGGACATAGCAAATTCCTAGAGAAGATAACTATGTAGAGAAACTTTCAGCTCTTTCAAGGAGGCTATGGTGACTTCCAGCAGAAGTTGTTCATTTCAATCAGATTCGCTATTGTCCATGGTTTTGTTCCCACAGGAAGTTCAGGAATGTATCTCTTTACACAAGGAGATACATTTCAACAACTACAGTATTAACTAATCCTTTTGTGAGACCTTGGGATGATAACGACAATGAATGACTTCTTAAAATAACTTTCCAAGTTCTCATCAGTCTCTTTATTTGTAGCCTTTGCAGGTTTCCACAGAAAATAACATCTGTTAAGGTAGGGAAGGTAGGATTGCAGAGATGCACAATGTTCTGGAATTTTTACCACTCAAATCCTCTATCTGGAAACACACCAGCATCCCAATATATAATGTAAATGTATCAACAGCTATAAACTCATTAACAAATGAATGGTATTTTAAAGTTCATCTCTAATTCAAAATTGTGCTTTTTTAAAAGTAAAAAAACCCCATTAAGTATGAAAACGTTTCACACAAACTGTAGTTACATCAGCTAATGACAAACCTCTTAGCTTTAATAGTCCATGTGGCTTTGCACCATTAATAAACTATTTAGTGATGTGATTAATTTTAAAATTTGTAAGCTTAAGTTTTAGCATCTCTGGCAACAGTTTATTAAGAATCTTCATGGAAAATAGTTGGCAAAGATAACTGTTGGAAAGCAAGCTCCGCAAATGAAACATTTAGCAGCTGTTAGCTAGAAATGTGTAAGCCTCTTTTGTCCCAACAGAGCAACCTCAAGGCACGCAAAAGTGTACTTGTTTGAGCACTCTTGGTGGAATATAAAATCATACATGGCAACTGAAAAGAAATATGGTATTAATTCTTTTTAATTGTTAATTCTCAATATGTCTGAACAACCTTGTGGAAATATGAGGGAAAACAATAGCATTTCACCCATGAAAAAATCAACCCAATCAGCTTTCAAAGGTTAAACAAATTGGTATAATTTTTTTTCTCTCAAAATGACTACCAGTGGGCTAAATCTAGGCTTTGCCTTCTATAAATGGATAGGATTCCCTTCACCAAGAGAACATTTTTAATCCACTGGAGTAGCTCCACTAGTGTCTAGGACAGGAGAGATTTTGATGCTCTCCATAAATCTTTGAAGTAGCAAAAGGAGAAATTAATTAGAATCTTCTGAGCTTCACTTTGTTCCAAGTAAAAACCAGAGTTTCATTCAGTCACAGAATGCTACCATCACCAGAACCAAACTATGCATCCAACCTGCTCTTCCTAAATACATAGGTATTCGGAGTTTCAGAATTCATTAATATATATTTTTAAAAGTTGGACTACCATGACTTGCAGAAACTTATGCATCCAGTATAATGCTCTGCAGGTTTGATCAGACACTTGTTCGATGGAACTTCATTTGCTTACTAGAAATGCTTTTCAGGTCATAGGAAATAGTTGTGTAATAAAGCGGAATAAACCTATATTAGAGACTTTTGAATAGTATCATTTCCAGAAAATTGAAGCAAATAACCATGATTTTTATTCACGGGCAGCATCCTGCAAATAAGTATATTACATTTTTACAATAATACATCTTAAAGCTGATCATGGAACAGTTTCACTGAATGCTGTATGTCTGCTTCACATTTTTAATGGAAAGTGTAACAATGAGTGAGCGTGGATCTTTCCTGTTTTTGTGGAGCGTTATCCTTCCTTTCAATTCTTCACCTACAAGAACAAAACACAAATATAAGCAACATTGAGATTATGAAATCAATGGTTGGATTTGTATTCACATTGTCATCTTTTCAATGAATCAACTTGCCATAACATAGTTAAGAACCAAAAATACCGATAATCATTTGGGAGTTGTTTGCAATATCCTCTGTTCCTTTTGTGGGAAAAGTAGAAAGCAAAGTGAATCCCCAAAAAGTCTTGAGATGTCATTCCACTTTCTGCTTAGCAGGCTGAAATCCAGCCTCACAACACTCCTAAAAGGAAAAAGATGCCTTCTAAAACGTAATCCATGGACTAATGCCAAGTTGTAAAGTTGGCTAAATGTTGTCTAGGACCTCCATTTGAAGCCACACCAATTTTTTGTGGGAAACAGGATAGATACATAGGTCTTAACTCTTAAAACATCAAAAACAAACAACAAAAGGAGAAAAGTTAAATTAATCCCTTTTACTTCATTTCTGTCTGGTCTAACACATGACCACTTGGATTAGAACTTTTACAGTCTGGCAGAATCTGTTCTCTATATTTAATAGGGATGTGTGATCCATAAAAATAGTTCAAAAGTCACTTTAAAACTGGGGGTGCTGGCGCTTTGTTTCTAAAATGTTTCTAAAGTATAGTTTATAAAAAATGTTATTATAATGAGAGTAATGAAATTTTGTCACTATTTCATTACAGTAATTGTGCATCGTTATTATAATTGGGGAAACTTTAGAGGCCTCTTTCTTCCTCATTTTTAAAGCTTTTGGAGTGAAACTTGCTACAATGGTAGAACACATTTTCCACTGTTATAGCCCACCAAATTTCAGAACATTTCACCTATCAATGGATTTTTGGAGAATGTTGAAAGTTTTTATCAACAACATTTAAAAAAACCTACAAGAGCTACCTACTTGAATTTTATATACAATGCACAAGATAACCAAGGCATCATCAACCCCAGAGGTTTCAGAAAGATTTGCACATCTACAGATTTTTGGGGATATTTAAAAGTTTAGACAAAAAGTGACAACAGCAATCATCTTGGAATGTCTGTCTTTATGATACAGAACCACAAAACTTCAAATTAGCACAGATTTGTATCATTACTTACTTACTTTAGTCCTCTTTGCAGATTCAATAATTTTATTAATTATTATTAGACTGACTCTAAATGGCTGGCTGCTGCAGTCCTCATTGGAGGTTTCAGATGCTGAACATGGATTCTGGGGAATGCAATCTCTGCCACAGGTACCTCACCTTCCCAAACTACATTTAAGATGGCTGTGCTCTCAGTCTCCCTCCCATTAACGTTACTTCCGCCCCCCCAGTGCCTTCCTTATGGTGATTGGGCCAAATAAAAAGGATTGATTTTTAAAGCACTTTATGTTTTCTTGGCTTTATCGAAGTTGCTTAATGCTTTTACTGAAAATTAAACTGACATTGGGAGGCATCCGAACGTTTCAGTATCGTAATGAAAATGATTGGTAAGCATTTCAGTTTCTAAATCCCCACCACCACTATCTTTCTTGCATGTTTCTAATATCAATTTGTATGCACTGATTTAAAGAATTTGATCCAAATTATGAATTAAAAATGAAATTACACACAGCCCTAATATTTAATAAAGAACCATGCATATTTGTTTCAAATAAATAAATAAATAAATAAATAAACATAGTAAAGCTTGACTGCTGCGAAAAAAAACCACACTTTTATTTGCTTCTCTGCTAGGGTTATTTTAAAAGCATTGTAGCAAGTATCACCTACTCAAATACCATATCTTGGTGTTTCAACTAAACTCCATTTTAACTCCTAATCCACTGCTGAGTATTTAATCTGCTATTAAGCGGCTGTATCTTGCTGGAGACAACTGCAATTCAGTAGGAGGTAAATTTATCTATGAAATCTTGGATTTTCAATTGTTTCATTAATTTAGATAATGAAAACAAAAGTGCTTTTATAAAAACAGAAAATAATTGTACAACAAATTTTATGGACAGCAACACACTATTTTTATCTGGAAGTGTTTACTCACTCAGCATGTTATGCATTACAGGCCACAGCAAACACATTAAAATGGAGCTAAATAATGTGCCTTTAAAAATGAAGAAACTCAGCTGTTGTAAACACATACATTAATTCTCTGATATATATAGCAGAAATCTAAATGATAAATGAAGTAGATATTTTCCCCTATGTCCAACATAGTGTCAATGGCCATAAGTGCTCTTTCCCTGATCTTTCAAAGCACCATCTAAATAATATTTGATTTATACCCTACTCTTCCTCCTAAAAGCTCAGTGAGCTAATCATTTTTCCAAGAAACCTATAGTTAAAATTACAGGTTACAAAGAAAGAAGGCCATCATTGGAAGTCTAACAACACAATGTCCTGCCCATGACTACTATTTAAAAATCATAAATTATCTCTCTGCTGAAATAGAATAAAAATTACAAAAACTGTCAGCAAAGAAAAATGTGCACTTATATCTTTCCTCCAAGGAAAGGACAAACCCAAGAAAAACTGACAAAAGTGCAGTAAGAAGGATAATGAATTCAGTCTTGATTAAACCATGGCATTGACTTGTGCCTTGCTTGCATCCTGAGCATGAGTTGATGCTGCTCAGTCACTGGAAGCGTTCTCTGCAGCCACAGAGAGCAGGAGAGCTGTTGAAAGCGCATCAGTCATTTTATATCTACATGGCATTGATTAATTGGTCTGATCCTTTTTTCTCTCTCGTATGATTACTCAGTCATTGCCTTAGTTTGGCTGCAGAAATGGCTGTGCACAAAAGGAGATTTAATGTGGCCCATTGGGGCGAAAAAGAGGCAAAGATCTGCCTCATGACAATGAATTAAACCAATTGTCTGGTTCGCTTAATGCAATTAACTTGGTTATAAATAACTGAAGGCTGTCCTTAATGAAAACCGTAGTAGGTTGATATAGAAATGTTCTGTCTTGCAGCTCGCCTTAAGGTATTCATCACCAGGACTTTTTGAATAGCAAGTTTAATTCATTTTCATGCAATTAAACAAAGATAATGTCTTCTGATAAGATCACTATAAAATCACCCAGGGTAGAATTATCACCCTTCCGTGGAATCTACATGGGCATTTTTTAGAGATATAAACATAGCCTATTTGAATTGTTACATCACTAAGGTTTCTTCAGCTGTTGGACAGAAAATGAACATATATACACTGAGCATATAAAACAATTTTATTGCTTTCTGTTCTAAGACTAGCTTCTTTTATTCAAAACAAGATTCCTGTGATTGTGAAATCCGAATTTATTTTTTTAAACTATTATTCTTTTGTAGTTAGTTCTCTTTTTCAGCACTATACAAATGGACCTTGGTGAAGTGTATAACAACAATGATAAAGATTTATCGAATCAGTGTTTAATGCAGTCCAAATGTACACCGCATCCATATGTCTTGTTTTGTGTTAGCTGTGCTGATTATTTCTAAAACTCTCCTCAATATCATTCTGTACAAAATGTCATGCTCAGGTTTTTCAACAAAGGAAATAATGTTGTTCCTTGTAACTAAAAAGTCCTGGTAGCTACATTGTCGAATTTATGAGTATTCTTAGAGCACTGGCTAAGCAAGATAGTGCTCTAAGTAATTTTCTTGAAAATTTTATGAGAATTCTTTTAGAATGCTGTGAAATACAGTAGAAAATCTTATATAGAGTACTTCAAAGTGGCATCAGAAACCCATCTGGTCTTGGAATCCAAGCACGGTCAGCCCTGTTTAGTATTTAGGCAGTATTTAGGCTGTCCTCCTTCCGTAGGGATCTGAAGACTTGGCTGTTTAAACAAGCCTTTGAGAACATCTAGCCCAATGGTCTACAATTAATGACACAGCATTGCACAGCACCCATACCCTGCTCCTTAGTTACAATTTGCACTATTTATTTATTTTATTTATTTACTGTCCTTGTATACTGCCGTTTCTCAGCCTAACTGGCGACTCAACGCGGTTTACAACAAAATATACAGTACACCGTATACAATTAAAACCATAAAAAACATAATACACAATATTACACGTAAATCACAATCCAATACATCTCCTAACTAAAATCGTGGTCCAATTGCATCATCCATATTACCAATCCGTAGTCGACACATTCATTGCACCGAATTAACCAAATGCCTGCTTGAACATCCAAGTTTTTAGTCTTTTTCGGAATACCATCAGCGAGGAGGCTGATCTTACCTCCATGGGAAGGGCGTTCCAGAGCCGAGGGGCCACCACAGAAAAGGCCCTGTCTCTCGTCCCCGCCAGCCGCACCTGTGAAGCAGGCGGGATAGAGAGCAGGGCCTCCCCAGAATATCTTAGGGTCCTGGTGGGCTGATAGGCCGAGATACGTTCGGATAGGTAGGTTGGGCCAGAACCGTTTAGGGCTTTAAAGGCCAACGCCAGCACTTTGAATTGAGCCCGGTAGCAAATCGGCAGCCAGTGGAGCTGGTGCAGCAAGGGAGTTGTATGCTCCCTGCGCTCCGCTCCAGTTAGTATCATGGCTGCCGACCGTTGGACTAATTGGAGCTTCCGAGCCGTCTTCAAAGGCAACACCACGTAGAGAGCGTTGCAGTAGTCTAAACGGGATGTATCCCATTCCCTTGTCTTGGTTACAGTTTGGCCATGTCTTATGGCAATTGTCACCCTAGGTCATTGGGTGCTGTCACTCATTGGGCAAGTTTTAAACGTTTGTATATGCTATAGTTTTTACTTTATTGTACTGTGTGTTTATTTTATGCTTTGCACTGGCACATTGTGCCATATGTAAGCCGTCCCAAGCCTCTTTGGGGAGATGGAGGTAGGGTACAAAAATAAAGTTGATATTATTATTATTACTAGTATTTGGATGGGAAAATTCCAATGAATATAAGGAGTTGTAGGCTGTATTTCAGAGGAGTCATAGAATCATAGAATCAAAGAGTTGGAAGAGACCTCTTGGGCCATCCAGTCCAACCCCCTGCCAAGAAGCAGGAATATTGCATTC